GAGAGAGAGAGAGAAGAAGAGAGGTAAAAAAGTGAGAAAGATAGTGAGAGGAGAATAGAAAAATGAAGCGAGAAGAAAAAAAAAAGTTAAATTTATTCTTTATATGATAAAGATATATGTGATTGGGAAAGTAGACAGATTAATTAAGTTCTCGAGCTGGGTCAAGTCAGGTCGGGTCAGATCAAAAGCCACTCCCAACCAGTAGCAATAATGACAGCATCAGCAGCTAACGATACTGAAAGTGAAGACGGATTGGTGTGCAGTCAAGGTGTCTTCAAGGTGTGCAATGTATATATGTGTGTGTGTGTGTATGTGTGTGTGTGTGTGTGTGTGCATGTGTTTGTCCGTCTGTGTCTGTCCATGTGTGTGTATATATGTATGTTGTTGTGAGATGAACGGTGTGCAAATGGTAAACTTCAAGAAGAGGAAGAAAGGAGTTGGTACGGAATATAAGATGTTAAAAAGACAGTGAGCGAACTGATGAGAGTTGGAGGTGTACTCAAAGGTGTGTGTGTATGCGTATGTGTGTGTGTCTGTGTGTCCGCGGGGAATGGCAAAGAATAAAGCGTACGCCACCGGTAGACACCGTTAAGTTGATGCTGATAGTAGTGGTGGTGGTGATGATGGTGCTTGATGAATTTAACCAACCACTGTTTCTTCCACTTCCCTTCTTTCCTTCCACCTTATCCATCTGTCCATCCACCTTCTTCTAAGTAGCAGCAGCAGCAGCAGCAACAGCAGCAGTCGTAGTTGTAGTAATAGTAGTAGTAACAGTAGTAGTAGTAGTTAGTGATAGTAGTTAGTAGTAGTAGTAGTAGTAGTAGTAGTAGTAGTGGTTGTAGTACTACTACTACTAATACGGTGGCTGCAATCACGATGGGTGTTCATCATTCCCATTGCCATCAGACGAATGAATCGTGCATCTTTTCCCTAAACTTTCCGTTATCGTTCCTTCTCACTTTTCATCAGCTTCAGAAGCGGTTATAGTCTTTTGTTATGGTACTCGAAGAAATATGTACAGGTAATGGTATCAATGAGGATCACCGCTTATCATACTGTATATTTATTAACTGTAACCAATAACAACTTGGATAATACTTGATAATGATCAGAAAATTTCGTATGGTATAAAATTTACCGGAAGAATATGAATGAAAGAAAGAAATTTAAAACTTCATATTGTTAGCAGCCTAAAGGATATTGATGATCTACTCTTTCGTTAAAACTTTCAATTCTCTTTTTTTTCTTAGACATTTCCAATATGAATGATAGATACCACAGACTACAAATCTTTCTAAAAGTTTTTTTTTTTTATTTTCTGTGAAATTTATTGGAAATGACAAGAAAGTTGAATGTTAACGTGGAAATAAGATGAAATATATCAATTAACAGTATCTCTATTGGAGATAAAATATTATCAGAGGTGCAAATGTCCTTCCAACCACATTTTTTTCCTCTCTCTCTCATCAGATCATTTTATGAATGCGGCTTTTTTTGCGGAAATGTTAATATGGTTCAAGAATATTACTGCTGCTGTTGAAATCCACTCAGTTGGTTGTTTATTTAATAGCCGGATTAGTGGGAATTTATGCAAAATGGAAAAAGTACTGTTTGAAAAATGAAACAATCCTAAAATAAAAAAAATCTTTGTCATATTAACAGTATACCAAGAAATAAGCATTTCGATTATGGCGTATAGGGTAAATTTATAAATATAACTCTTTTGTCATAATTTTGTGCTACAATTAAAACCTAAAATATTTCCACATCTTCATTTCTCCAGTTCATGTTTTATCAGTAAACAAGTAAATCATTAACATATTTATCATTCTATCTTCTTCATATTATTACTATAACATTTAACTATTACAGCATCCTCAACCTGCATAGAGCTGATTTTGAACAAACTTTGAAAAACAATTGCATTTTTTGAACGCTAAACCTGTCTTTATCTTAGTAACTAATATAAAATCTACACTTAGATATAACACCTTTATCACTCAGATATCAGGTGGCTTGTTTTTAACAGCTTACTGATTAAAAGCTATCAAATTGGTTAATTTGCCCTATGCAATGATACTTGAAACCAAAAGAATTACAACTCTCGTAGAAATTCGTACAAATTGTCCCATTAGCAGTAACTAACATGGTATAACGATAGGACAACTCAAGGTCAAGGGTACATTATAACCTTTCGCTACTTTTGCATTCGCTGATGGACTCATCGATATATTTATTACTATCATCGATAACAAATGTCCACGGGTTAAAGGAATGCAGGGTGAGAAGTATTAATTTGGCTGACAATAATTTACCCTTCCATAGATCGCGTATTTGTCCAATACAGGGGATTCATAGTGGTGGTATAATAATACTGTTACATGTTTACTACTTCTTTGTTTACAATATATGCTCCTTGACGAGAGAAACAACAACCTACTCTGCCGATACCTGTCACCGTCAACAACAGCAATATATTGCAGACGACAAACAGAACCTGAACCTAAATTTGGCACTGATACTATCCTCAACATACCAATGAGACGTACAGGTAACAACTTTCGTGAATATGATCAGCAATTTCTTTGAATATATGAAGATATGACGGCACTATGAAGATGCATATTAAGTGGTGAATTATGCATTCCATGATTGGGTTGGTTTATCGATAGAATGTTTTTGAAGATCAAACGGTAAAAAGTTGCCAAAAGAGTAAGAATCAAAATTTTACTAATTACTAATAAAAAATTTCATCAAAGGTCAAGCGATCGTGAATGTACATACAATCAATGTGGAAAAAAGAAACAACAGGACATTAATAGCAAAACAGCAAAACCATCTAAGAAATTGAAAAGTAAATAACAGATATTAAGTAGAAATGAGTGAGCAACAATTATTTTGTCAGTATTTAAAAATACACTGAAGATCAGGGCTCAGGAAAAGAAGTTTCAAAAACCTGGCTTTATGCAAATTATATCCTACTAGTACAAACAATCTTTGCATATCTTTTTCTTGTTTTAACGCTCATTTTTTTGAAATATTAAAAATTCTCACCCATACATGCGCAATAAATATGAAATAAACAAAATGCTTTAATTTGATTACTTACTGCATACAGAATTCACTATTAATAATTTACTATGCATAACGTCTACATAACCCAATAATATCCTTTTGCTCAGATCTTAAGACGAGTGTAAAATCTAAGCAACAGTTTGGCAATTTCCTTCATCAGTTCTTTGTGGTTGTAAAATTGCTAACATAATTGGTGTAAAGCTTATTATAGATAATTTGAATCTTCGATCAATAACTACATAAATTATTCAAACTATTCAGTGCAAAATAAATTACGGTATTGTTCTCTGAGAATATTCTTTTGTATTTTTCCCATCGCATTTCGTGGCAGTTGATCAATACAGAGGAAACGCTTTGGTACTTTATAGTTGGCAAGTTTTGTATGAAGGATACGAATCGCTTCAGATTCCTGCAAAAATGCATGGCTACTTGATTCCGGTACGTACAGTGCCAATACTGCTTCGCCCAAATCACAATGTGGAATACCTGAATACAAGCTATATAGCACATATTTAAACTGAATATTATAAGTTCTTCCTGTTGCATTTTATCGTTTATGCTGTCAAATTTAAATCTATATACATTTCACTAACATTTTTATCATGTATACATATAAATGTAGCAGAACCGCATTTTCATGCATTAGTTTAATTGGATGAAGTTTCGTTGAGAAAGCCATGAAAGAATAAAATAAAAGATCAAGATGATGTTTGTCAGTGTTCAAATGCATTTATAATAAAAAAAAATGTTACTAAAGTTCGAGAACTAATGGATGTATTCCCAAATTTCATGAAAAAAATACTACCATAATACCATAAAACTCAATAAAACAAAAAGAATTACTGAAGAAATTAATTGAAGAAATTAATTTTACATTGTTTACCGATATTTTGACATTACATGCTAAGAAAGAACACATAAATAATTTACCTATTACAGCTGATTCTAATATATACGGTAAAGAATCTATAGCATCTTCCACTTCCTTGGGGTAAACGTTCAATCCACCACTTATAATCAAATCTTTCTCACGGCCTTGTATCCATAAAAAACCTTCAAACATATACTCTAAGCTGATAAGCAAAAAANAAAAAATAGAAATATCTTTAACACTTGTTTAATAGACAACATCATTATGGTGGGTTCAGCGAATGGCACCATCATATATTAAATTATATAATGATATTACTATTACTATTCATTTTCGCTGACATTCACAACTACTCTTGAAATGGAGTGCAATAATAATCACTAAAACAGTGGTTTCGCATTTAAATGAGCACCTTATAGAAAAATTTTATTGAAAAAAGATGGAGTAACGGATCTCCCCTATCAATCTGTTTTGGTTTTAAATTTAAAGAGAATTTGGATTACGCAAAATTTCGTTCAGATCAAAATTTACCATCTTCATCAATTTTACCAACATCGCCAGTATTGAAAAACCCGTCTTCAGTAAAAACTTTTTCTGTTTTATTCGCACTTTTCCAATAACCCGAAAATAAGCTCGGAAGGCGGATCTGCACTAAACCACCTTCGGTTGTACGAATCTACAATACAAATGTTGTTAAATTATAGTTTTCAAGAATTTAATAAAAAATGAATAGCAAATAATCTGAACCATCAGCTAACTAATCTTTGATATTTACAAATCTACATTACAGTCGCATATATGTTTATGATGCAGTACAATAAATTATTTCTCAAAAGAATTAAGCAAACGAAGCTTTCTCCTAGTTCACGTTAAGAAAAACAGATGGGGATTTTTGTTTCTACCACTTAAAATTCATCATGAGAGTTGGTAACTATTTAAAGAGAACATTAAAAGGAAAAGAGCCATGTTATACACGATAGCGCTATGCAAGTATGTTTGCTACTATTCTTTAAAAATTTTCAAGTTGAAATGCCATACAAGACAATTTATATATGACAGTTTCGTGCAACTAAGTTTGTTATTACTTTCTAAAAATTTCATTCTATTTGATTCTAGATAAATAATAAGTCCACTGAGAAGAAATGAAAATAATCAAGACTGTCCCATTTTCAATCTTATTTTTCCGCATAGAAGATATTACAGCAAAACATTAAAGGAAGTAATTATTTAAATAGAACATCAAAAGGGAAAAGAAAAACTTACATTGCCACCAGGTAAAACTTTTCCAACAGATCCTTTTCTACGATCATTGTAAGGATTAGTTGTAATTACAGCTGCTGAAAACTGTTATTTAATTTGGAACTACAACAGTATCTATTTGTTGAGCACTTATTTATAAACCACCCATATTCGCTGATGCTTTCTGTCCAAAATTAGTGTTACATGCATAATTCAGGAGTTCATGAATTTTATGTATATTTGATTGTTTCATAGTGTGCTGTCACAGTATCTTCCAGAAGTAAATAAGCATGATGTCATTTCTTTAGTGTCATTATTCCTTATCTATAAATTGATATATTTGCCACACTAATGAATAGACAAATCTTTTGCCATTGTATTATATTTCCCCACAGTCTCTAATTGTTATTTTTAAATGGAAATTCAGTTGCGTTTTCATCAGTCTCATATGCTGGTGTTTTACGACAACGGACATGTAACGCTGAATAGAAAAACCTGCAGTAGCTATTTCAGTAAGGCTGTTACAGCTAGTAATATCCAAAGTGATACTAATTCAGCAGAGAGAAGATCGGTAAAACAATTATTCATAAAGCAAAGTATAATGATGGATGCAAAAAGAAAGAAATAGTGGAGTAAGAAAAGTTACACTATTCGAATATTAGTGATAGAAGAAATAAATCATAAATATAATAGATGTAACAATAGGCAAAGTGCGCAACCTTCGGTCATGCCATAACGTTCCAGTATTTCATGTCCAGTTCGTTGCTTGAAATCTTCCCATAACATTGTGGACAAAGGCGCACTTCCACTTATAAACAGGCGAACATTTTTTGTTAGATCTTTTCCGAAACTGGATCTTTGCATCAAACGACTAAATTTCACCAATCATAATGATTTAACAAAATTTCGGATAATCTGACTTTATCGTTCAAGAAAAAGTGTGGAAGTGTGGAGAAGAAAAAGTGTGGAGAAAAACAAGCTTTGCTTCTCGAAGTGAGAAATACTGAAACCTGTTGAAATGTAAAAGTGCAACAAACTAAAACCTGTAATATGTCGGGACACCCATCATGACCGTACATCGAGGTAACCAATCCAAAGCATCGTTCACATCAAATTTCGGTCTAAGGAATTTGTTCACTAACAAATAAATCTCTTTTCATTGTAGTCTTTGTGTTATTAAAAGATAAATCCAAAGAACATTTCATGCTCACAAAGTTTTAATCAAGAATGCGTAAGTAAACTGAAATCAGACTGAGTAAAACTGACTGTTACCTAAAAATAACACTAGATTTCGTGAATAGCGCGCAATTGAGACTTATGAACATCCCGTGTATATGATCAAACGGAAGCATATGGAGCAGGACATCGTTCTGTGAAAATTTCCACATATCTACCAGTGCTTCTGCATTCCACGTAAGACCGCCATGGCTTATCATGGCGCCTTTTGGTAAACCTAAATATTTTCCTTTCTCTTCCAAATATTCTTAAACATCTGATATGTTCTTAAAATGTAACTGGAAGCAAAATAATTTGGGAATTTTTGGAATGTAACCGAAAGAAAAGTATCTTGCAAAGTTTTTTTCCTACTTTTTTAAATGTTAAATGAAAACAAACCAGTAGTTCCGGAAGTATAGCAAATACATGCAATGTCAACAGACTTTACGCATTCCATACCATAGTCAGGCTTCCTCTGGTGACTTTCCTCGAACAGAGCAGTGGAATCCATGACATGCTCAACCCTATTTGCAAAAATCTCGTCCTGTTTGATATTAGAACTGACAAATAAATGGGGATCACTATCCTAAAATGTAATGCTTTTCAATGAAGATTTCTACAATTTCAGAAATGAAAAAATCTTTGACAAATAATTAGTAAAGGTCAACTTTCTTGATAACACTCACACAATGTTATAAAGATCGTATGCGGGTTTTACTGTAATGAATATTCCGATAGCAAACAAGCAGAAAAGGTCACATGGAAATCTTTGTGGCATTATATTTAATTTATAAATAAACAAAGAAAATTAATGACCGAAAAACTAACTTTAACAAAATATATGGTTTCTGCTAGTGTAAAGGTTGGATTTAAAGGTACATAAACAGCTCCAAGTCGTATCGTTGCCAGATAAAGCACTAAACTATCGATGGATTTCTCCACTCGGCTCAGTACTCTGTCACCACGCTGAAAAGTGACATAGTAAGGAAAAGTGAGAGCTTAACACTACGATGTTTTTTCTTGGTTCAAATAATGTAAAGGGAGAATATCCACTGTATCCAAGGCTGAAATTGATCCAGAGCTAAGAACTCAGTAAAGTTATGAAATTTAGGGTAAATTGATACATCATCTCCTATTACGGGATAATTTATCTGGTTTTCGTTAACGATTAGTTCATGCAGGAAGAAAATTAGCAATGAATTCCAAATCAATTTCTTCTTGAACTCTTGAATTTAGTTTAATATGGACAAAAATAAACTGCATACACTAAGCCCAAATGTGGTATGTAGAAGTGCCACCATCGAACCAACTTTTTTTGATAGATCTCTATAAGTTAGTCTATCAGCATCATTTAGGATTAGTGCGATTTCTGTCGCATGACTACCAGATGCATCCAAACCCATATGATAAGTGATATTGTTCTGAGCTGTCGATATCCATCGTTTTAAAAATATCCGATAACTTGTAGCTATACGCCTTGTATAACAGTTTGCTAACATTTAAAAGTGATATCTGAAGATAACGGAAAATTCAGCACAAATATCAATGATCCCGTCGCGTATTACTTATCATAACGCCTCGTACCATTGGTATGAGGTAATGCTTCCGACTAAAAAATCTAAACGATGACCTAACTGATATCATCATTACCATTACACGTTGTCATTAGTTAATCATTACCGTTATAATCCATGTCTAGTAAGCACTGTTACTAATCAATTACAGATCAGTATTATACTGGACAGAATTTACAAATGATAAGAAAATCATATATGAAGCATGACAAAAATGAAATCACAATAAATCATGATAAGCTGGTGAAGAAATATCTTTGTGATATGATAATACTGCGAATAATGTTGCTGAGTTGATACGGTCTGGAACCATACCATATTTTGAATTATTACTTATTGCCATCATCATCAAAGCTAACGAATAACAATCAACTTGAAAAATACTTTCTCATATGTGAAACTGTAAAATCATTATTCAAACTTCCAAGCAATAATTTTTAGAGAAAAGGAGTGGGCAGACGCATACATGAGTAAGTTAACATATTAATTAGCGACTAATTAACAGATAACACTCTTCCAAAGCGATCAACAAGGCAAGGATTCAAGTGAATTCAAGAATGTCGCGATATGAGTATTAGCCCAGCTTTGACAACTGTCACTCATTGATTGTTCCCTCTATTTGTTTTGATGTTGCCGCTGGGCGGTGATATTTTCAGCGGAGTTCTCAATCAAATTTTGGAATTCAAGTTTTAAAATATTGCAAATCCTCGTTGGGATTCCAGCCTATACCAGGTAGCAACAAATTCTGAATCCATCTTAATATCACTAGGATATTCTTATTCATTAAGATATTCTTAATAAGGAATTCATGAAGATATTTTTATTGATATTCTTGTTTAATTGCGACTCATATTTCAGGATTCTGCTTCAAATTCTGTAGGAATACAGAATAGTTTTAGTTCAACTTATCCAGCAGAAAACCGATAAATGGTGCTTGAAGTGTTAATCAATCGACGCTTTCTACTACTTGGTACTGTCATCACCTTGTAGGTTTTCTTCCTAAAATACCCGTTTAATCGATTATTGACAATTTGACGTTAGCCTTGAATTACTTATCTAAAAGACTGTTAAGTCATAAGGTTATTTCGTTTCATTTATTGATCCAGTGATTCATTCCCCTAAGGCTTCTAATCAAATTAGATTAAATTAGCCAGTTCTAATTTGAAGAACGGATTATTATTGGAGTTGTCGGAAACTATCACGCTATTTTTTTCATCGCGTTTCGAAACTTTAAGGTTATTAAAGCTATTAACAAGTATTAAGTATACACATAGTTGCATGTTTTATTTTATTTAATGGTAATTTATCTTGTCATTATGTATTTTAGACTTGAAAAAGCCACAGAGTTTGATAATTACTTCAGTTTTTGAGACTTGAAAAAGAAAGAATACTGATTCGACTTTACGAGATTCCATTTTTATACCAAGAATGTTTGCTACCCAATACTTTCACATACTTTTCCGGTATCCTAAACGATGAGTATGTTTATCCATTCTTGCATTTGGAGGTAAAGTATAAAGCATTAGCAGTTCCTCAAACATGAATAAAATAGAGTGAAAGTTTTCCGTTTTCAGAGTTATCTTTGTATTTTTTGTTTATATATATTCACTGGAAAATGTCTACGATGGTGATTTTGTATTGAAGAAGTTTGTTATGTGGAATATTCAGCAGAATAAGATAAAGGACGTTTCTCGAGTTACTCAGCCGGTAAATCGTTAAGTAAACTTATTATATGAATTCCTAATTTCTACTACTTTGATGGACAAATATTGCGCTTTAACTTGAAATAAAATCAAATTGACTTTGCGGAAAAGAACTATTCAGTAGTATGAGATGAATAATATTTAAGAAGTAAACATTTTCTATCACTTCATAAAATGTTTTCTACATAATGACTCTTTATTTGATTTGAAATAACTGATTAAAAAAAATTAAGATCTCTGATGAAACCACTCCAAAATTACCGGATCATATGTGCTACAAAAACGAGCCATTCATCGTTCTAGAAAGCTGCGTAGCTTGTTCTCAGTTTGAGCGGAATGCTGTAAAAGCAGGTGATTAATTTACGGATTGGATTATTTTCCATTCAATTAAACGACCAGAGAACGACATTTGTTTCAACGAAAATCATTTAGAAAATCTTGCAATTCTTATTAATAGATAAATTGATGGCAAATCGAGTTAATGGCATTGTCCAGCTAAATAATGTGGCGTCCAGTAGGTTTATAAGTACCAGTCTTTCTTATTTGGAGAAAGTGACAATCCTGGCAGTATATTTGTAGGAGATGCTTCACTCTTTATGACGAATACATTTTTGTACTCTATGAATGGTATTTTACAAAATTTGTTGAACTTTTGCAGCTTATTGCGTTGAAACCGATTTCTATGATAAAGTTAACTGTACGAGAAGTAAACACCTTGGATTGAAGCCGTGCTATAAAACGACAAATCAGTCAACAAAGTTTAATTTATTCACATTATTTTCTGCTGTGTGCTCTGCTTCTAGCTATGGCTTTGTGAATTGGAGACAAAATGTGCTTCGTAAGCAAGGCTTTATGAGATTGCAGAATCAATTTAATTAATTCTGCTGTTCCTCAATTTGACAACTAACTATCTGTGATATTAGTGCTATTTCTTGCTAGACTTGGTAATCTTTAGAAAAAAAAACAGTTAATTGTCAAATTAATCTGTTCATAGATCACGTTAGCAATGACTGTGTATGTATAGCAGGTAAGACATAAAGGTACGACCAGTTACATAATGTGCGGAAATGGCGTATAAGTTGCAACAAAATGTGCATTCATAGAAGTGATTATAGTTTCTTAGTTTTATGGTATATTAAAATTATTTTATATATCTAATAAGACGGTTGTATTCCAAATGCCGCACACATTTTTATAAATATGGGTCTCATTTTAACATGGAATGTATTAATGATAGAAACTCTAGCTTTATCCAGAACTTTATCCAAAAAGAACTTTCATATATGTATAAATTAGGTCATGAAAAGCGCCAATTTGTTGTTCTTCCTCAGGTATTATGCATATTTTTCTTCATTCTTTATATTTTCCTGGTTCTCAGCTTACTCTTTGCGATTGTTCAACCGATGATTAAATTTTCATCGAAAAAAGAAGTTGAGGACTGATATCTTATGAATAAGTTGTTGTTTTAAAGAAATTTTGAGAATAGTTATCTCGATTCTTAAATTAATCTAAAGAATGTTGTTTTCCTCGTTTCTAGTTTCGTAGTCTTGCAAGTGAAGCTATAAGCGCACTTTTCAAGACTATCGTTTCCTTGAGATGCTTAATCGTATCAGCTTTTTTAGTCGTTGAAGATTCGGCCCTTACTCATTAAAGAGTGATTTAACACATATTTCAAGTCTTCGCATTTTTTCAAGCCTTCTTTTTATTTGCTTGAAGAAGTCAAGATTATTTGTCATCATTATCAACCATCATGATAATCATACATGTATTCAGCACTGATCTTAATATAATTTGATGATATAAACAATTCATGACAATGATATTGAAAATTTAATCTTCATTTTAATGTCAATATCAACAAAAGCGCTTTTTTAATTTGCTATTCAAAATCTTGTTTGAAAGGACAAATTGGTCAGACTTATAAAACGATTCATTAGCAATCATTTTTCAGTATATATTGCTAGTATCAGGTTGTGCGGTATTTATAAGCTGTAATAATACAATCTTTTAGAAGGAATGTCGTTGTCTCGAATGATATGCTTAATGTTTATTGTTATGCTTGTAATAACTATCACCTTTATTTTGTTAAGTATGGTGAGAATTGTTCTATAATCTGAAAGATGATTAATAATATTTTGTGATTTCATTTAATATGATATGACATGTGACATTTGCTTATCTAATTGATGCTAACAAAAGTGTTCCAATTCCTTTTCGTAATTTTCAATATTGATTATATCATTAATAATAAAGCACATTTTGGAAGATTTAGTCTATGGATTCTGATTCATAATGCCTAATTTATTCTGATTGATAAATACTATTTTAGAAAATTGAACTGTTTCAAATTAAATCGATATTAATCTGTTACAGTCATAATCGATTTGAATCAGCAAATAACTCATCTTCCATTCACTCAAATGAAGCATACGTTAGTTCTGTATAATTTAAGACGTATATCATGGAAGAGATTACCTCTGTTTCTAATATACCATATTGGATATTTAATCTCATTGCTGGTTACATCGATGATTACCGTATTTGTCTAGGAGTACCGTATTTGTCAGGAGTACTATGTTATAAAGTGTTTAAGTTAGCATGAACACATAGTAATATCGTACTCCTGATAAGTTTATCATCCATTAAATGAAATGCAGAAAGAATGAGCTTTGTAGATGTTGAATAATGAAATGGATCCAAGTTGGCATGAATCAATCCTGATTAAATCTAAATCAAAATCCTTGAATAATGGAATAATAATCGATGACACAATTCGATATAAAGATGGACGAATGAAAGCATTGACTGTTGCGCTTTTGGGAATTAATAAACGGCAAAATCGAATTCTTCCAATACCGCCTTTATTGTCAAATTTTCCTCTAAGAAATGAATCGATCTCAAAACGAACTATTCCCATGTCTCGCTCTTCTTTCGTACCTTCAAAAAATGAGCCAGTCAAATCAATTGCTTTATCATTGTCTCGTCCGGTACGATTACGAATGTCACCACCATCTTATGATCATGTTCCTGTTCATTCTGATAAACAAATCATATCATCATCAATTCTAATGACACTAAAACAACGAAATTTGTCTCGGATCATTTCACAAAAGTGGACAATAGAAAAGCACAAAAAGCATGGTACCAAGCAAATCGTTGCTATTCAATCAGTAACTTCCACTGTTAGATTGCGAAAATCGGATAAAGATTTCGGAAATGGTAAAGAAGCTCGTAGAAGAAGAAGAGCGGAAAAAGAAAAAATGTCGCCTGAGAAAGTTTTGAAAAATAATGTTGTACGGAATAACATCGACTTTATTGATTACGGGTACATTTTGTTTTTTGAACCTGAACTGATGTGACATGATTATTCATGTGACAGAACTAAACTTCTTTGGTCATCAAACCCAAACAATGAGCGAAATGAACTAAACAACTTTAATAGTTACAGTAAGAATATCATGAGTTGACGTGAATGGAACACTGTAACGTTAGTGTGACGCAATAATTTCCTCTGTTATCGATTATTCATATTTCATAAGATTCCAACGTTGCTATTCAATCAGTAACTCGAAAAAATTGAATTACTGATAGAAAACAATCAGTGAGATACCAAAAGAAAAAATCAATGAGATTTAATGATTATGATAAGGCAACTGAATATTTGAACCGGCAATTCCTGATCTTCTATTCTTTTCCTGAAATGTCTGATTTAGTCATTATCTATTCTCGGTTCTATTTCCGGTTGTAATCTATATAATACCAAAATGCAATAGGCTTAATTATATAAAAGCATACTGGAAATCCTTAGACAACTATTTGATTTATTTTGCAAGATTTTGATTCTAAAAAATCTGAAGTGATCTTTGATTATTCAATATTAAAGGACATATTCTATGAACGATTTTCGAGCTTTCTTCATTCTAAATCAAATTTTTAATAAGTTTGAAACTTTAAATTGAACTACTTACTTTTTACCACTTATTTCTTTGCTTAAGATAATCAACATCTAATTTATCCTTCACACATTTCCTTGCTTATAACTTCCACTCTTTCCAGGAAGCAGAAACTATAACATGATAATTACTTGTTCAATTGATGATAATTAATTGGGATTGACAATGATTAATTAATTTCAGGCATGGACAGCCAATAAAGTCAAATAAAAAAAACCATTTATCATCGGAAATAAAGGTATCAAGCATCATGAATATTAGCAATAACATTTACCTTCAGATCATAAGTGCACCAATTGCAGCAACCTTTCATCTCTACATTGTTTATTTCAGTGAAAGAAGGAGGATGGCAAAATTTCCTACAAATGAACAAAATAAACCAGATGCTAAATTTAGATGATTTGTCTTTATCAAAAGAGTCTTCTCATATCACTACTAAATCAAACGATGGATACCATTGGAGAAGTACGACAAATGAGTAAGTTCTTCTTTCTCTTAAATGAAATAGATATTATATCTGGCAATGTATAACAATGGGAATAATATAGAATACGAAATAAAGTAATGTTCAGTTCGAATGATCTCTTCAACTCTTAAATATCATTAATTAAGCTAATTAAGCTATCGTGAATTTTTCCGTCCTCCGTTTTACTTATTTATGATAAATTTGGATAGGATAATTTGATGCTATCAGAGTTTTCATTCAACCATAACAGCCCAGATCATACGTGCGATCGGTATCTTTGAACGTTAATACGTGAGGATACAGTACCACACGTGCTTTATCTAGAGTTTTAATCATCTGTTCGCTTATTAAAATACTTTTGACACTTTAGTACTCAGTGAACTTTAATACTTCATATTTTCCATAACTTATTCGAAAACAAATGTCTCGATTTTGGGTTATTAACTAAGATTTATCCAGTGATACTTAAAGAAAATGTCAATTGAAAATCAACTTGAGGTCAAAGGTTCATGACAATAAAAAAAGTGGTATAAATATCTTGATACCTGGTATCGTGGGTGGGATCATTGTTCTTTTTATCATTGGAATCGGTATCCTCGGATTCATATACTACCGAAAGATGAAAAATAAAACTCAGAAACAAAAGGACAAAGGTTACTTATATTTCATTGTACTTATCTTACCTTCTTATCTGATAGTATCAGTCTATTCATAATTTGACAAGTAATTATGTAACTGCACATTAAAAAATTAATTTTTTAATTATAATTAAATTAAAAATTAATTTGAAGGAATGACTGGGATGGTTTCAGCGGTATTTCAATCACCATGGGCACCTGATATGATTGATGCCTTACAATTCCAGTACAAAGGACCTTTGAACGTTTGCATTAAACAACCTATCTGTTTGGTAGGTTTTGTGAAATTTCTTGAAATTTCAGATAAAATTTAAGGGACATCCTATAAATTCAACTAGATTGGATCATGCGAGCGCATTTCCTGATAATCATACACTTTGGAAAGGGAATGTTTATGAAGGAGAATTGAAAAAGACTGCAACTCGTAAAATCAGTCCCACTTAACAGCCCTTCATTGAACTTTCAGTTATTTTGAATTTTATTGACAATCGCACATTTTCTTGCAATTCTCTTCCAGAAATTAGTTACATAATGGTATATTATCCTTTAAACTGGTCATATGTATGATAAGGAAATAAATTTGAATTAAATTTGATGTCTCTTATTTTTAAATAAAATTCCACAAAATGTTTGATCTTTGACATACGGCCATTTCAACGACTCATTCCGATATGAATAAACAAAAAATGAATAAATGAATAAGTGAGAAACGAAATGAACTTCTTCAGAAGCATGATTTGGAGAATTCCGTTGTAGAATCGCCTAAAGCAGAAGATCATATCGTATTCGATGATAATCTAAATGAGGTATACGAGATTGGTAGTGAAGTGGAAATTATGTTCGATCAAAGGAACACATGATAGAATGTAAAATTAGTAATGCTTTTGATAAGCATCGAAATTGATGCAATGTTTGTTTATACAGTTATTTTTAAATTTAAATTTTAATTTTCAAAAGAGGACATTTACAATTATCATTTATGACCGTAAAAAGGAAAGATAAACAATTACATATCCAATAGAAAATTTTTTTTGTATAGAACTGGGGATTCTCTATAAATGAAAAACTTTGCTACTATAAATAACTGATAGAAGTGATAGTTTTTCCTGTTTTCTTCTCTACACTAATTAATTTCGGCTAGAAGATACAATTCCAGCTCAACTTGAGCATTCGCATAATTCTTTTTTCTTTTATGAAAATTTTGTTTCAAATAGCTATTGCAATGGCAAAGGCAAATTTATAGGAATCAATCTGGAAGGATTAATTATTATCAGAAAGAATTTAATTTTTAAATCTTTTTTTGGGAAGAAATTTAGAGGAAACTTTTTGTTATGTGAATTCAAATGTCTTTAGGACTGTCCAGTGCATTATTTTTAAGGTCAGTTTACGTTACATATATATATATATTTTTTAATATATATATATATATATTTAAACAAAAATTAAAATTGGTATTTCCATTCTCCTACTCATTTGTTTCAGTTGCATTTTTCTTTTTTCTTTTGCTTAATTTTATTTCTACAGGATTTGTTTAAGAGAAATACTTTATCAATGTCTTGTTTTTTACTGGTAAGTATTACTTTTGTAAAGTATTTTTTAAAGTAAGGTCAAATGAGTTATTGAGTTAGAATGAAAATTATTAATTTAATGACTAGCATTGCTCCACCATAACTGATCCAATTATAAATAGATTTATAATTATAAATAATTATAAATCAAAAATAACTCGAACAACACTTCAGCACTTTTTTACCTTACTTCTTACTTATTGCTTTTTACTTACTTTAAAAAGTTATGCTAACATGGAGTTAATGATTATATAAGTTTTTACTGATCTGTAAAGAGAAAGGGAGCTTTTGAGTGGTAGAATGTATATTAATTCATGTGGAATTTGTGGTGTAGGTTTCTTATAAATCAATTAAGGCAAATAACTAATTATCGTGAATAAGTGAAAGGTATTTTATGAATAGGTAGTGCTGGTGAATACAATTTCCTAGAAAAAAAAAAGAATAAAAGTAAATAACTAGTTTCAAAGGAAATATTTATAAGAAATGGGGTAAAATTTCAAATTATCATCATAGAAAACGAAAAATTTCCTAAAATGTGACATTTATTCTAAAACTAGCATTTATTTATTTATTTTTTCAATGATTTTTGTATGCTTTTGCGATATTATATAAATTCATTGGAAAATTACTTGGTTATAAAAAAGTTTCTTGATTAAAAAACTCAAATGCTAAACTTTGAGCTGTTAATTATCAAAGAATTATTTAAAAATAAATAGTACGTATTTGAATAGAAATAGCATTTCAATGAATTTAGAGAAAGGTAAAAATTTAAAATATGATAGCAATCAATGGCCTAAACAAAAACGCTGTTACATCATTGAATTGTTTGAAAAATTTTTTGATAAGTTATTTATTTAAAATTTTTTTTTGCACATAATTATGCATTAAATGTAAGACAAAAATATTGGAATTAGCAAAAAAAAAAAAAAGTAGTAAGTATTAGCATTATTTCAATTACTTACCATACATGAATCGTAATAATCAGTTAATTGTAAGGATTTATTATTCGAACAAAATAAAAGAAAAGAAAAAAAGAAGACAAAATAAGTATAATTAATAAGTAAGGAATGAAATTGACAACTAAACAATTAATAATAATATGTATATGAGTAAATATATACATATATCTATGGGAAAATTTGAAATAAATAGAATATTTTGAAAAAAAACAAACAAAGAAAAAGGAAATATATCGTAATGAAAAAATGCTAAAATTATTTCTATTTAAAATGAAAAAAAAGGGAGAGAATAAGGGGAAAGGTAGAAGAGAGAGAGAGAAAGAGAGAGAAAAGGAAGAAAAAGGTACAAATGTTTTAAAAAACTTTTAAAAAAAATTTAAGATCGAAGAAAAAGAAAAAGTTAGGCAATTTTTACATCAATTCCCATCAGAAAGCATGCTATCGTATTTTGCGCCATACGTCGTCGTAGTAATACTTTATCAAATTCCGATATGTATGATTCATTGGTATACTGATCGAGATCCATTAGGTAAACAGTGATAAACATGGAAATCTAAATGATAAGCATTAGTGATAAATGAATAAATTTATTTACCCAGACAATATTTCATTTTTAGTCAAATTGAAATAATTAAAGGTTAGAAGGAAAACTACTTTCTTAATTACCATTTTTTGCTTTGTTTCCTTTTTTTTTTCGTCTTGTTAAATAATGATATGATAAACAATCAATCAATCAAATCTCACTGTCACTTTCTTGATTAATTCGAATTGAGGACTTTTTTGTTTCTTATTTTTAAATCATTTATCATCTAATCATAAATATACAACTAACTTTATCATTTTCTTGTTTATTTCTATTTTGATATGAAATTTTTTTTTTTTTTGTCTTCTATTGAGACTAACAACTATTTGTAATATACAATAAGATAAATACGTGACAATAAAAAATTTGCTTGAATTGAATTGTATTGGTAAGTTATGCTTTGTTGCGAAAGTTTTTAAATATATAAATGTGCATCAATTCAAATTTTAAAATTTTAAAAAATTTGGAAAATTATTGTATGCTCTGCCGAAACATTATTAAAAAATCATTAAATGGACAAAATTAATAATTTTTTCCATTGATTCAAATTTAAAAAAATGTATGATAAGGAATAGAATTTAAACGAAAAAAAATTTGTCTAATCATTTGTGATTTTTTAGCAAATTTTTTTTAATTTGTTTAGTTTTATATGATTATATTATATCACATTTTGTTATAATTATTTCACATTTCAAATAAATCATATATAATTGTGTCACATAATTATATCACATTTTATTAAATAAATCATACAAACTTACAATGAAAAGGTGAAATAAAAGCAAATTCATATAAATATTCAATTTCTTTTTAATAATTTCATCGAATATAAAATTAAAAAAAAGAAGTTTGGTACCGGACGTTTTTCAACGATATTTTTTTCAATTTCCGGTGGTATGTATTCCTTGATATCATCAAATTCTGGTGTACATATTTCTGTTTCAATATCATAGAAACCTGGTTGCATAACCTGAATACATGAATGTAATTAATAAAAAAAGCAACAATTGAAATGTTTGGAATTAATGAAATACTTAAATTAATAATTTTGGTGCAAAAAATAAAAGGAGAAATATATGAGAAAGTAAAAATGTAAAAATTCTATTAGAAATATTACGCTATTTCAATATTACCATTATAGAATGCAAATAATCAATTCTTATTCGATTATTCATTTCTGAATTTGTTCATTTTCTCGTTATCAAAAAAAACAAAAAGTCAATTCTCTTTTTTTTTATTTCTTATTTCAAAATCATATTTGGTCCAGAAATAATCATAACAGAAGAGATTGCATCAGAGGCTAAATCCATTAATTAAGCCTAAAGCCTAAATGAAACCCATCGTTTGATGGATAAAGAATTTTCGTTTTTCTTACTCTATTATTCACTTATGATAAGCATTAAAGGAAGTAAATAAGCAAATGAATAAATGAAATAAATAAATAAAAGAAAAAGAAAGAAAGAGACAAATAAAGAAATAAATAAATGAATAAATAAATAAACAAATAAGCAAATAAATAAATGAATGATTGAAAGGATTTGGTAACAAATTTTTACGAATTTTATGACAAACAATAATTACTATATTGGTTTGCACCATTTATTTGGTAAAATTATGCTCAAAGAAGTTTTTTATTTAAATAAAATGTTTAGTAAATTAAAATGCTTTATTTTTTTGATGTAAAAGAAAAAAAATCGAAATTTTTTCAAAATTTCTTTGATAACCAAACTTTTTTTTAGGTATTAACGAATAATTAAGCAAAAATATGTTACCAATCCATAAGAATTATATATAGTTGAAGTATATTTCATCATTTCTCGTATAAATTGATATTAAATTTTGTAAGATTTTATAAGCACTTTTTCAAGATGCATACTGTATGAATAAATGTTTGAATACGGTAAATGAAACATGATAAGGAACAGACGTGATCATATGTTGACTGCTACTATGATCTAGTAAAACTCATTGCAATTTTTTTTTAAAAGTTATCGAGCATACATGTATAAAATATCGGTAATTAAATTAAATTTCTTAAATTTTAAATTTCCATCGATTTCTAATTTATTATTTTTCTAATACTACGATTACATGATAATCATTTTTTGATAGGATGAAGAAATTAATTGTGAATTGAACTTTTTTTTTGGATCGGAAAAAAAATTAAATTTTTTTGTCAAATCGCTCCATTAATAGTTTTATATTTAGAAAATAGAAAATTTTAAATATTAAACTGGATGGTTTATTGGGAAGGATTTGCAATGGTTGGATCGGAAAAAAAAAATTAGGTAAATACGTTAATAGATCCGGTTGAATATTATTTACATCCATATAAATACAAATATACTGTTTAAAATGGTAGAATTTTTTAACATAATAATTAATTAGAACTTGATTAATTTAATTTAATACATTAAAAAAAATACGAAAACCGAACCAAGGAACAGATTTCTTTAGTTGCAAAATGATAGCAATATATTTGTAGTCAAGAATTCTAACTAAATATCAATTTTAATATTATTAATTGATTGTAAATTTGGCAGTATCACAAAAGATAATTAAAAAAATTTAATTTCTTTGAAAAAATGTTTATAAATTTTCAGATAAATTTTGAAATAATTTTCAGTCAAAAAAAAAATGAAATGAACAACACAAAGTATTTTATATCATTTGAAACTTTACAAAAGTTTTTTGTTCAACTTTTTTTTAAGTCAAATTGTTGAAGAAATTTGGATTTCTCTTGCAAATCAATTAGCATATTATAAATGTCATTTCTAAAAATCTATGATGAAATAATTAGTATAATGAATTCAAACATTTTGACTAAATTTTTTATTCTTTAATGATCTAACTTCTAAAATTACCGTTATTTTTCTAGCTTAAATTCATACCAAAATTTAGAATAACTATTAAATCTAATTCTTTTTTCTTTTTAGATTAAATTTTAAAAGCTCAATATGCAAATTGTAAATATACGTTACTTACTTCCTTTAATAAATTATTTCCTTTCAATATATTCGTAGTAATTAATTAGATAATGGTTGAAAAAATTCCTGTTAATCAAAAATTTCCATGAATAAACGGAATAATATTTGAGGTTATATGCATAAATATAATACTATACAATAAAAATTTTTAAAAACTAAAATTTTTCTTTATTAATTAAAATTAATACCTATCTTATATTACATATTGCATTCAATATGTAATGTAAGACAGGTATTAATTTAATCGGATATATGTAATTCAATTAATATCTAATTATTCATGACAGCGGGAAATTATTTAGTAATAAGAGGGGATAATTTTAAGATTGCTTGAATTGCAAAAACAATTTTTCAAATCAATGTATAACTAATTGATAAGCATTACCAATTAAAAATTATTTTTGGAAAATTTTCTAAATAAATTTTAACAAATATATGCAAAAAAAAAAAAAATGAATGATTTACCGTCTTGCTTTTTTAAAAAATTTTATAAATTTTCCTTTTCTCGCACTTTAAAATCCAAACATTTCATGTATGGTAAATTCAAGCATTATTTAAGAAGATTAATATCAGACGTTTCAATATGATTATTTTCAAATTGCTAACAATGAAGCCTTAGATGGTTAACTTCTAATCATTAGTGATAAATAAGTAGTACGAATGATTCCTGATTAATATATGTTAAAATTACCATCAATAATTTTAGCTAATCAAATTATTCCTCAAAAAAAAAAGAAACTAGAGTGCCTAATTAACCTAATTCATATAAGAAATTACTTCGATTACTGCATTTCGGTATTCTGGAACGTTTATTGCTACATTTACAAATACTAACTTCTAATGTTAAAATGCGCAAAATTTAATCAAAATTAGCTATCTCTTGCTAACTTTTTCAAATAAATAATTAAAAACTTTAAAAATCAAAATAAAATGGCCAACATACCTCACATTGACAGTCATTATCGATAGTTTTCGATATCATTCGTATTCGTGAAATACCATGACGTGTCGTTTGATTTCGCATTTGTTTACAGAAATCGCAAAAAACACTGCAATCAATTTTAGCAATCGCTAAAATTTTTTCATAAATAATTAAAAATCTAATTACTAATCTGATTTTAAAAAAATACGTAAGCATATACTTATATATGTTATTACTTTATTTTAATATTATCTACCATATTTCAAGTTTTTTTTCTTTTCTCTTTATTTTTTGTTCTTATTGAAGTGATAATTTTTGATTTTAAATCATTAAAATATTAATTTAATACTATTGAATGGATAGATATATACATATAAATAGATGTCGCATGTACATGTGACTTTTTTTTCGAGTAAAAAAAATGAAAAAAAAATTAAAATTAAATTAATTACCAAGTATTTTCTAATCTTGCACATGGGCATTGATTAATTTTATTATTAATTTTTTCCGAACATGGCAATGCCGGATAAGCTGGATCCGGTATACCACCAATTCGCATTTCAGTTTCGGCAATTAAATTTTTTACTGGTCGTGTAACTTCGACACCAAGTGCTTTAATTTTGATGCATCCCGGGATGGTCGGATTTCTGGGTGTCAGTATAATTTGATCAGGATTAAATCGAATTTTTGGCCGATATTTTGCCGGATCAATGCCTCGCCTTGATAAATAAACTGAAATTTGATTGGAAATAAAAAAGATTGTATTGTTATAGGGAAAAAAGAAGTAAATTGTATGAAAATATGCATTAATTTACTATCTATTATATCTTGTATTTCGATAAAATTCATCCTAATTTAAATCTGAAAAAAAAAATCATTCAGACCAAAATTTTATTCATTATTTTATTTCTCACTTATATAGTTTTGCTCGTTTTTCAATCACAAATTATTTTGACTGAATTTGTATCATCCAAACTAATTAAATTGACACATTTTAAAATCATCTGCTAATGCTGCTATGAAATAAGTGCTTTTTAGTGGATGCAGAAATAATTTCAAATTCTTTTTAATTTCAAATTTGAATTTCAAACTTTTTTAACTAACGAAACAATTTCAAGCTAAATATTGTTCATTTTATTTTAGCAATCAACAAATGGTAGCTATAAACAAACGATAAAAACTGGAAATTTTTATCCTATTAAATAATTTATTCAAATTAGCTAATTTGTTAATAGCGATGAATTTGAAGTGAAACACGAAATTTGCCACTTTTTGATCTTTTCAAGCAAGCATGCTTATGATTGAAATACAAAAAGTTGAATTAAGACTAACAAACTTATTCGTTAATGCCATTTCGATTTGTTAATTTGATTTCACTTCCAAAACTGTTTTTGAAAATTTTATCATTCAGGTTAAACATAATTACTGCCTCAGTTAATTGAAGCTTAATAAAAACATTGAAATCTTTGTCTCAAAACTTTGGAAAGAGAGAGAAATGGAAGGATGTGATTTTTTAATTTCATTTTATATTTAAAATTAATGCAATATAGCAAAAGAAAAGAGAAATTAATTTTGCTAGGAAATAAAAAAAAAACAAATAAAAGTATGAATTATTGTTAGAACGTAAATTTTAATTAAAATATTTAAGAAAAAAGGAAGAATTTCGGAATAGTGAATGAACATTAAAAGTTAAGCAAATTAAACTATGCTAATTATGCAAATAACAATAAGAAAGCTTAGATTGAAAAAGGAAGAATACACTAGCACATTGGCTAGGCTAATGTGAATAATGTAAAACTAACTGGAAGAAATATCGGGTGAAATTTTTTGAAAGAATCGCAAAAAAAAAGTGCATTCTAAACATTGTCACACTCATATCACACCCGAAACATTTTCACAGACATACCACATCCGAAACATTGTCACACTCATATCACATCCAAACATTGTCACACTCATATCACATCCGAAACATTATTACTTCCATATCATAATAATTTAGAAAATAAAGAAATGAATAGTAATTGATTACGGCTAGAAAATATTCAAATTTGATCAAATTGAATTGTCTAACAGTTAATGACATCAAATTAACATAAAGTTTGTTTATAAAATTAAAGTATATTATGGAAAAATGAATAATTTGAAGTTAATAGATTGTTTAGTTTATTATCGAATATAATTTAATATCAAAAAATTCTTTCATTTATTAGAAATAATTGGAATAAATATTTTCAGGGATAAAATATATTTAAAATGAAATGAATTAGTTCAAGGCAATCATTTTATTCCATCTTTCGATATATTTTCATTTTTTTTTTCGTCACTTTCTCTGCGAAAAATTTTACACATTCATAAGATGGATAAACTCAAAATGACAGCTCATTAAATTTTATGAAATATATTTATTTCAATTTTAATTGTATTTATTTCAGTTTCATTCAGGATTTTTCTTGCTTTTTTTCCTTTTTTTTATGCAAATTATTTATTGTTTATAATAATAGTACTCGTATATTTTCATACATTTATTTTCACTTTTTCCTCTTCCTTCCTACTCTTTTTCAGCTTTTTTTTTTCTTCAACTTTGCTACATATCTATTTTCTTAGGCGTATGTATGTCATTGGAAATGATTAATCTAAAAGGATATGAGAAAAGAACGATCATTTCTTCGAGAAATATAACCTGAAATTTCGTCAACAAATTAAAACATTTTCTATTTTATTATTCATTCCTTCAAATTTTAAAACTCAAAAATTTAATCGATATTTTAAATTTTTCATTTTATCTTTTTTTTCATTCATTTTAAATTTTTATTAATTATTTACAGAAAGCTTTTAAATTACAGTTTTTGTCTAATCAATAACACATAATCTATAAGAAATGAATTGTGGCAAAAAAAAATTTTTGATCAACTTTTTTTTCCTTTTATTTGTTAATTTATTTCGTCAATAAACAAAGAAATAAAAAGGAAAAAATTTAACAGTGAAAAAAAAAAGAAAAAAATATTTGAAAAGGGAAAAGTGCTTTCTCTCTTTTTTTTCTTACCTTTTCTAAATATTTTTTATGGCTACTTTTTAATCATTCTTTAAAATATAATAATGCAACAAAGTTGTATTATTCAAATTTAAAAATTATACGAAAAATAATTTTGAGAAATTATGAAATGTTTATGTGATTAGATACAACGTTATGCACATATATATATATATATATATATATATATATATATATATATATATATATATATATATATATATATATATATATATATATATATATATA